GTTCTTCAACAGCCAAAAATAAAAATTCAATGTTCTTTGCTTATTCAAGATCATCCATCACAATCATCACCAGCATCCAGCTGGAGTCACGATCCTGAGCAGTCCAGTCCTTGCTCATTCTCATCAGTCCACCTGAAATGTGGCCTTGGTCCATCGATCTCCTAGTGGTCTCTGCAACAACGCCAAACTGTTAGCTGGATTATTTATTTAACAACAGAGACAGAAATATGTGGTGAAGAATGAAGGTACTCCATGAGATGATCAGCTGAGTTTTATTGCAACAACAGGAAACACAGACAACCTGTCTCTGTGCCTCTGCTTCTCTCTGTCTCTCCACACTACTGTTGAACTCTGTTGTCGAACTGTGTCTCGAGAGGCCTCATATATATATTAACAAACACCATTATACCATCTTGGCAAGATTTGATACAAGGTCAATGGAAAACACAAAGATAAACACAAGTGATATCTAAGAATAATTATTGTTGTTAGCAAATCTTGTTCTGGCTTTAATCATTCTATCTGCAGATGAACATGTCATGAAAACCTAGGTCATTAAAGGATGTCATGAATTACTTGCTCAAACATAAAGTATTAGTTCCATTACAGTTTTATTTGTCTTTAATCGGTTTATTTGGTTTTTTTTGCACCTTTGCTTTTTTATTCGGAGATTAGCTACTCTAAACATTTTTTTATTTGTACCTTTTTGTTATTTGATCATGTTTYATATATTTTCACGTGAAGTTTACCGTCTCATGGGGTTTTGTGACGTGTTTGTGTTTTGTCCGATTTTTGTAGGTGGTACTTGAAGGCAGCAGGGTTACCTGTAGTTCAGGTCCAGCTGATTCGAGTGAGAATGATTCAGACASGCGTCGACATGAAGATGTTGCACCGCACATGGTCGAACAGCATTGAGAGTCAACACTTTCTGTTTCTTCTGATGGCGTCTTGAGTCACGGTTTTAATTTTAAAACACGTCTGGATGGAGGAGTCTCTAAAATAAGCGGTAAGTTTCGCTTTCAACACCTGCTTTTGTCGAAAACTTGTTCCAGACACGACATGTGTAAATATCCGGTTTTACAGACAGACAAACAAGTGAAAAATAACTTTTATTTGCCTCTTTGGAAATGTATTTTAATGTGTAGGATATATATTGTAGGGTACTTAAAAAAACTGAATTGTGTCTAAAGGTTTTGAACTTAATTGGAACAAGCAGAGAGAAAAACATGAACTGAAAACTGCACCAAACAATGTCGAAGTCTACATTCAAGGGAGAAGTGCAACAACAAGGAGAAGCTGCGGTTTAAAAAAAAAAAAAAGGCTCTAAAACCTTTAAGACTGACAAAACTTTATTAGGCTTGTCTGGGAGAAATTAACTCTTCTGGTGGTGAAACTGAAACAAGTGAGTTTTACAGCAGAACAATAAATCTAGATCTGAACTCTCACCCACACCAACCTGACTTTCAACACAGAAAAYTGATAGATTTAAATGCTCAATATTTCTGCAGGAAAAACGTTTAAATAAATCACTTAAATTAATGTTGAACATCTAGAAGTGTTAAACTATTCAAAGATCTGAATTTAAGGCAGATTTGTTTATGTTAACATTTACATGAACGCTAACTTTGAACCTGAAAAGCGAACTACTTTTGGAGTGATCTCTGTTTAAGACGTTCCAGGTGGAGGCGAGAATCTGTTTTTATTCGGGTTTTTCCTCCTTGTTTCTGCAGTAATGGCCTCTGAAAACAACGCGTGGAACACCTGCGACTCCAACCACAACGTCACCTTCTTCTACAACTTGGTGGGCAAGGAGCTGAGAGAAAAGTGGACCGTGCGGGACTTTTTTGTCATCGGACTGGGCTTGACGGTGTGTGTTATTGTAGTCCTGGCCAACTTGTTGGTGATTGTAGCCATTTTCAAGAACCGCCGCTTCCATTTCCCCATCTATTACCTGCTGGGCAACATGGCTGCAGCAGACCTGTTTGCAGGTCTCGCCTACGCTAACCTGATGTTGAACACGGGTCCCTGGACTGCAAGGCTAACTAAGGAGCAGTGGTACATCCGAGGGGCTTTAATTGACATCAGCCTAACTGCCTCTGTAGCCAACCTGCTGGCCGTTGCCGTGGAGCGCCACCAGACCATCATAACCATGCAGCTGCACAGCAACATGACCAAGCGGCGGGTGGTGCTGCTCATCGTTTGCATCTGGGCCACTGGAATCATCATGGGTYTGGTTCCCTCGGTCTTTTGGAACTGTGAATGTGACCACGACGACTGCTCCACCGTTGCGCCCCTCTACAGCCGCCGCTTTCTGATTTTCTGGGCAGTCCTCAACCTGCTCACTTTCTTCATCATGGTGGCCATGTACGCTCGCATCTTCTACTACGTGAAGGGCCAGAGTCGGTCCATGTCCGAGCACACCTCGGAGATGCACCACAACCAAACGGTGGTCAACCTGATGAAAACCATCTCCATGGTTCTGGGTGAGAAGCAGCACCAGTTACATGTTCTCCATAGAGCTTGTTTCTCTTTGTTTCTGTTTCCAGACTCTTAACAGATTAAATGTTTGTAAAGATACTCATGGCACACTACGAACCCTGGCACAAAATGTAACATATAAACTTCTGATTTAAGGAAAAACTAACCATTAATGAGGAAAGAATTGTGTCGATTTTGTTTCTTCCTGACTTTTTGTTACGATGTTCAAGACATTAGTGAGCACATTTCAAAGGTATTGAAGATCTGAGTGTTGGTTTCCTGTCAGCCTGAGTGACAATAAACGTCACTCAGATCCAGAATTCTGGTGTTGTATGGTTTGATTCCTTCTACAAATCATTTTATTTAACAATGGTGTTTTTAATATCGACTTCATTTATTGAATACGAACTTTCTTACAGTTTTAAAGTGCTTAAGGTTAAAGAATAGAAGCTTGTTCTGATCGCTTCATGACTGAGATTTCTCCACAAACCAGTTCTGCCAGCTTTTTGTTTTCTGYACTCGTACGAACACCCTACGATTTAACTTTGAAGTTTGTTAGAAAATTCTCATTATCTCRTCCCGATCGCCCTGTTCACGGCCCCAGTGACTCATTTCCTGACAGGTAAATWGTTTTACATGGAACATGCTAAACAATCGAGGAGGAAATATGACACAACAGAGACTGGCGTCGTATTACATGAGTGGCTCAGTAAAAAATGTACGTTTTTGTTCTTTCCTTTTGATCACTATAATCCACCTTTCTCCAGGGGCCTTTGTAATCTGCTGGACCCCCGGCCTCATTACCCTCCTAATGGACGGTCTGTTGGGTAAAGAGGGCCAGGCCGACAAATACGAGAAGTACTGCTTGGTGATAGCAGAGTGTAACTCTCTGGTCAATCCCATCATTTATTCCCTGCGGGACAACGAGATGCGGAGGACGTTCAAGTGGATCCTGTGCTGTCTGTGTCGAAGAGGCGTTAATCGACAGCAAGTGTCTTCGCCCATCGAGATCGACTCCCCGCTGAAGGAGGTAACTCTTCTGTTACAAAAGAGCAACCAGTAAATTATAGAGAACAATGACATGAGGTCTTGTTGGGTAAAAGTTCCACTTTTCAACTTTCCACTTGTGACACTTCCTGTTTCTGTCGCCATTCAGTCTTTACACCTCAAGCATGCAGCTGATTTCTGAGAAAACATTGTTGCTCCGTTTAAAGCTGGAGCGTTCTTCCTCAGAATCTGATTGGAGGGGCAGACGTGATTGTATCTGCTGTGCCTGTAGATACAATCACATCTTCATGAGAAATGATCACGTTCATTCCTCTTAGTAATCTGTTTTGTTGCCCCACAACTTGGCATTAAATAATGAAATGTGCTGTGCATATGAACAGGATTGTCTGCCAAAACTCTCAGTTTAAGGAGGGTATTCATCAGAAAAACATCCAGGAGGTGGAGCTGGACAGATCTTCTGCACAGATGAGAGGATCTGCTGGATCACTATAAACTGTACAGAATTGAGCTTTATGAAAGAGTGACAGGAAAAACAAAATACYRGACTGTTTTGAATCTCATGTTTAAGAAACTGCTGGTGAGATGAGACTAAACTCAAACTTTCAGGCCATCAACGACAAGTCCATGTCTGAGGCTAAGCTATAAGCTAACAGCAATCCTTCAGTGAAGCATGGTGGTGGCAGCATCATGCTGCGGGGATGTTTTTCATCAGCCATGACTGAGAAACTGGTCAGAGTTTAAAARAAGATGGAGTAGTGGTTTAAATAGAAACAAAGTCGAGTCGAAGCTTAATCCTCAATTCAACTGAGCATCTCTGGATTAATTTAAAGATTGTTGGACACGAGCAGCACTCAATCCAAGCGGGAGGAGCTGCAGCCGTTGGTCATAAAGAACAAAACAGTCCGGTGGTTACACAGACTGAGACCATGGAGACAAACCTGAAGAGACTTGCTGTTGACAGCTGCAGAAGTGGATTTATTGCACTTTTTTTTTACTTTAAAGAAAATGAATTTAGATTTTAAAGCAACAAATGAGATAAAAACACCAAGAATTGATGACAACTTTTATGAAAATGCAGCTAACTGAGTATATCGTTCTTGAATTTGTTACAGAAAACCTTTGACAGTTTCCAGAAGTTTGAAGATCAGACTTTGTGGAAGCTTCAGGACACAGATGATTGAGATGACAGATGGACAGTGTGTGGTATGATGGAAAAATAAAATGTTTGTACCTGAGAGACTGTTTTTTTTTTTACAAAGATTTTTGAATGGACAAAAAGCTGCTGAATTTCTGCCAATGCTGCAGGAAGATGTTTGTTTTTTCTGTGGATAACAAATTCACTTTAATCATCAAATGGTGCAATCTCTCCTTTTATTACATTTGACTATCACAAGAGCATTTGTGACAAATTATAAAATGAAACACTCCTAAAATGAAATACTGAAGAAAAGAAAACCACACTAAATTATTTTTTAATAATTTCCTATTAAGAACACTACAATTTGTCATATTCTTTGTTTTTGTTTTACTCTTTCTAGATCGATTCTAAAGTTGAGGTATAAAAGGAGTTTATACAGACTCACAAGTCTGAAAACAGTGGGGTTATATACAAGAGAAATGGAAAGACAGAGGTAGAGAGAGGGGTAAATACAGGGGAAAAGGGAGATACAAATATACTAATAAAAACAAAGAAATAAAAAAAAAGGTCATAAAGCCATTTGGTGCTGTGGAACTCGCAAAATCAAAAATGTTTGACMGTATAGAAATATGGTTTTTAAATGTTAGAATTACAGCTCTGCTGCAAAAAGCAAGGGGCCACAAACAGGATATATTGACATCTGGTATTTAAGTGTGAGGTTTTACTTTAATGATTAGTGTTTTTCAATTAGGTGTCCTACTTGAGTGAGTAAATGAAAAAAGGAATCAAACAAGAAGGGGGGGGGTTCAACTCAAAACAAGTCCATAAGAGAGACTTCTTAGTTCCACAGCACCATGTTATATATGTTAACCCTACATTGCAACTTGGTTACATAACGAAAAAAAAACCTAAATAATATTCAAAGGTGATACAGAGTTATTGAATATTGTGAGATATATCTCAACTTTTTTATAAAAAGAAAAGAAAGAATACTGAAACATTACACAAACTGTACAGTGACATCCATTACAACAGGTAGAAAAAGGGGCACGCATGAGATTTTGGTGTGGCGACATTACTCACACGATGCAGCTGTACAAACTGCTGAGAGTAACAAAAGAAATTCAATGTGAGATTATGTRACTAGCTTTCAAGCTCAGGTCTTGTTCTGTAACATGTTTGAACAAAATCTTATTACTAGCAAAATGCTTTCTTATTCGAATAACATTTAATGTATAAAATAGTTCCAAAAAGATGAAAATCCCCAAAACGTTGCAGGTTTGTCTCACATGTAAGTTTTTACTACACCCAGTGCTGCCTTTTTTTTTATTTGGTAACAGAGGAGAGAAGCCCTTACCCAATTAGCTACAGAACAAAAACTGKTGTTTCTTTTTATAACCAGAGGTTATTAAAGGATAGAGAAAAGGGGAAAGTATTTCTGTTATGCTCACAATCAAATTACAGGTGTGATGTGTTTACTCCACCCAGAAACTTAAGTAAGCCCCATAACAAAATAAAACAAAACAAAAATTAAAACAACTTGAGGCATGACAACACCACAAAGAGACACGGATACGAATATAATCCCTCCCCTCCTCGAACGTAAGAGGATGGCTGCGCGCCACCTTTTTAAAGAGACAGAATAGCATTATTACATTTCTGAACTTGGTATTTTTGGTTTTGGTACAACGATAGGTTGTGATGTGTTGCCTTGGGCTCTCAAGCTTTTACGTTACAAGATGCGAAGGAAATCTCAGCTGAACCCTATCTTGTGTGCTATTAGCTGGTGGAAGCACCAAGTCTAAATAATGCTTACAAAAGTTCAAACGGGCACCAGCCAGTGTGACTAAGACATCCCCTGAACCCTGTACACATGCCCACACAGACACACATCATAGCAATACATGATGCATTTTTATCATTTTTGGTCTGACTGTAATAATTTTACCTTTTCTGTTAATAAAAATTATGCTTAAAAACTCGGAAGATTAAATGAAAACAATTTCACACCTAGAAGTCCTACATGCATGGAAGACRGTCACATTTCTAAACTCATGTCACGTTTGACCCAATAACACATCGATGCCCCACAGTCGTTTCACCATTCTTTTCTTGCCATTAAGATGCTTTAGTGAACTAATTTTTGGTGGTGGCTGGTGCATTCTTGGTGAAACAGCATTAAAAAATAGCCTACAATCAAATGAACTAGTAAACAAGAAAGTAAGAAGTAAATTCTACAAGCCATCTACCAACACCCTCTATTGGTTAGCAACAAAAAGGGCCATTAGTTACAGCCACTCAACCAAAGATATTCTCCTCTTTGCCTTATTCTCCTTCTCATCAACCCAATTATCACTTGTCCTGCTGTGTTTAGAAAGTGGTCCACCTTAATACCTTTGAAAAAAGGTAAAAGCCCATATCAAGGTTGCCAACGTTTGTGCTCGACACACCTTTGATGTCAGCGCRATATGAAAACAGCTGAGAAGTTGTGATATGTGTGTTTGGCGGGTCGTCGCATGCACCTCTCTGTGCACGTCGCAGTTTTCTTTCGTTTTCGAAATCCTAACAGGATGACACGTCGAGTTATAAGGACACGGAGATGCGACGGTGTGTCGTGTTGAGCTGGCAGAGGGTAATCTCAGAGGAACACTGGGGCAGCACTTTGGTACAAGCAAGGTGAGCAGAGCTCCCTGGTGGTCCGTATCCAGAGTTTGGCTGTCAGATGCCAAGGCTTCAGCAGATACGGGCAATTACGCACAGTTTCCCAAAGCAAAGAGTTGAATGTGGAGGTCAACAGCACATGAACAAGCTGTGAGAGCACTGTGTAAAGTTAACGTGCATATACACATAATGTACAGACATCATGATCATCTACACAGCTGGATCAGTGGTTTTCAAAACGTCCTTGACCGTAAGGGTATTTTCTTAGTATTTGTGTGCTCCACTCCCCTTTAATTGTGACTTATGAAGATTGGAGCACTGGAATAGAGCCGAAGGGAGAAATCCTCCTAACTACTGTACAGCTGTCCTTGGTTCCAGCACAGCGCGTGTGCATGAAATGTGTTTACAACTTTATGTGGCTTGTTGACAAGGAGGATATGAAAAATAGGGACAAACGATGGTAATCAGAGAAGACCGCAGTTGAAATGAAGTTAAAGTGAGAAGAGCCACCAAATCAGTTGGAAGTGTCGGAGTGGACACTACCAGGAGGACCAGGAGGGGAGGTAACCAARGGGGTGTTGGTGGTGTCCTGCCAGCTGTTAGTCTGCAGACAGAGAAGAAAGAATTCAGCATCTAAAAATAGTTTTTTTTAATAGTTAACCATTTAAATCACTTTAATTAGCTTCAGAGTGAAAGTGATTTATAGCCTCAAGATAAGACTGAATACAGACAAATGAATCTGTAAATAGTTTATTTCCTTTCATATTAAATAATAGTTAGCTAAAATAAATTCTGGTTACACAATCAACAAAATCTAGTTTATCTGCTAGAAATAGCTCACGGTGGTTGCCATTTCAAGTGAAAATCACCTGTTGATTATTTGTCTTATCTACATGTGGAATTTGAGATTGCAAGGAGGTGGGTCAGAATGATCTTTGCTTTCTAAAACAAACACAGCCAGAGCAGGCTGTTTACGTCCTTCCCCAAACTCTGCGCTTCCTCGCTTTTTATGCACATTCACTCACAAATGAGTTCTTGTACTCGATTGATGATTCTGGTTATAATTTTTATTGTACTGAGTTATTGAATTTAGATATTACAGAGTAAAATATTTTAACCTGCCTCGCATCACAAACTATAACAAATAAATGGCAAATATTAAAAAAAAGCACATCAAGGTGCTTTCATGGTACTAACATCCAAACGATGAGGGATGAAGAGGCCACTACTCGACAACTCCTCATAACCGTCCGTCAGGTGTGTAGCACGGTGCAGGGTATCCACCTGTCAGAAACAAAACATTTGTACAAAACATTAGCATATTTAGAAAATTAGCCAAGTGCTGACAGCATCCACAAATGCCTCATAATCTACATAAAATACCAAAAAGGTTTTCTAAAAAGACAGTTTGCTACATTTACAGTTAAATTACCCGACTGCATAAACCTYTTCCAAAACAGCACAAAGAGACCCAGTATTAACAAAAACTAACCACATCTTAAAAGGTGTCTTAATGAACTACATAGGTAAGGGGGGTGGACATGTGGTAWAATGCAGGGTGTTTGGTTCAGTTTGAGAAAAGGAGGAGACCTTATTAACKTTTAGAGGAGCAAATAAACTGACCATTAATGAAAAACTGATTTGMACTCCAGATTTGTCCTGTGGGATCATTCCAGTTGTATACTCCTTTAAAATAGCACTCAACAGTACTAATGCCCTTAAACTGGTTCTGAACAAAGTCAGAACCCATGTAAGTTTTATACTGTATATAAACAATGCATACATGTTCTTCATAAGTTATGTTTTTTAAGGTTCTCAGATCAAAAAATGGTCAGTTTGCACTATGTGGGGCAGGAGCTAGAGGTAATAAAGGTGTGGACAGGATACAATCCAAGGAAAGGTCAAAAGGAGCTACGCTATGGGAAGGTACACAGGGATGCCTTTGTGATTAGGTTAGCACCACTGAGATCAACTCTACAGCTGTCCTCGCTGCATACCTGAGGCTGTAGAGAGGGGGCGAAGTTCAGACCCTCACCGTTGAGGGAACGCAGGCCAAGGTAAGTGTCACCTGTGTGAGACAATCTGTATGACCCCTGTGACCCTCCAAGTTGAGTGTGTAAGTCTATTTTTAGGATATACTTATAAAAGTAGTCAATTGTCAAACTACAATACAATAACATACTACTACTATGTCTAAGATGTTAACTAAATTATTTTTATGAAATCTAAATTTAAGTTTCTCACTGTAAAGAAAGGTACTCTTATAATAAATACTTTTACATGCTTAAAAGCAACTAAAAAGTAGTTTGATAGCTTGCAATGACTTTCAAATCCATTTTCTAGCCTTGACTGGGTTGCCCCTTTATKTGGATTATATTAATCAGTTTCTTAATAACAGAATAAATTGGAGAACTGAGATTGACTAACACGCATGGTTTCCTAGGAGCTGATGTGTTTGTTATCTTCTGGTGAGGTTGAGAGGCAGGCCGCTAACAATAACAGAGGATGTGAAGCTTTTCATTTTATCTCTATTCGAAAGGTTACAGGATGTTTGAAGCCACAACAGCTGCTCCGGCTCACTACTTGTGTTTCATTTTCTTAACCACAATTAAAACTATTCCAATGTCAAGTTGCTGTTGGAGAAAATATTTTAAGACAATTTTAGATTGCAGTTTACATATGAAACTGTCAACACAGCTCTTGAATTGAACTGAACATGGAATGTTATTTGCTTTCACATTTTTTTCCTTCTGGATTCAGCTGTAGCAGATGTTTCAGTTTTCCCTTTCATCCAAATCAAATGTTCATTTGCAATAATTACATAACTCTGAGCAGCAATTACATTACTGTGTCATTAAACCTCGGTTGGTGGATAAGCAAAATGCTACATAGCTGACACCATCTACTCTTTTTGTAATCAATTACATTTAAATTATTCACAGTTTCATGCTCTGTGTTTGAGTTTAGTCAATATTAAAACCTAAATCAGATGACCAGCACATATTCTGAATGTACTAAACAATTTAAAGAGAACCAAATGATTTTATATTTCTAAATGATCACGAATGGAARCAAAAGTGCAAAGTGCTATTTATGCTACTATAATTGTTTAAAAGTCAAACAGTTTACTATATAAATACCTGTAAAAGTTTAGTTAATTCAGGACAACAACAGAACAAGAAACTGAATTATTATAAGAATTGTGTGAACACAAAATAAATCACAGAATGTCAGGCAGACGTGAGCTGCTTGTTGTGCACAGACCAAATGAGCAACATATATACATTTTACACATGGGAGACACTTAACAAAACAAATATGACTGGGAAACAAAACAGAATTAATTGCTCACTAGAAACAAATTAGCAGTCATTTAAGAACACAAAAGAACAAAACAAAACACTTGAACAATGCATGACATGTTCCTACTTGCAATGTTTGTGTTCGCTTTAAGAGTGGAAAACTTGACAAAAGRAAAACTCCTTGAATAGCTAACTTGCTGCAGCATGAACCAGATGAAGAAAACGTGGTGTTGAAACGTACCTGAGTTGGGTGTTGCTGGAGAATTGGCCTGGCTGGCCTGTGCCGACACATTGGCAGCATCCACCGCCGTCTTTACTGCGTAGAGGTTTGCTTCCTCCTGGAACTTACCGATGTTCTTCTTGTAGCGTATTCTCTTGTTGCCAAACCAATTAGAGACCTAAGGAACAGATGGATTTAGATTTCAACTCCGTGATTAATTTGCAGCAATTTAGCTGCTGTGCACCTCTCAGCGAAAACTATTTTTGAGAATAATTTATGCTCACCTTTTTAATTAAGCTTTTGGAACTTGTGCCACAGTGAAAATCAAACTATTCATTTTATAAATAAGAACCTAACCTAAATGATGATTACATGAAGCTTTTTTAAACAAAATAATATATTTTTTTCGATTTAACAGACTGTCCATTCTAGACGATGGTTAGTCGAGTAATTTACCTGAGATACAGTGATCCCACACTTTTTGGCCAGTTCTTCTTTTGCTTCCTCACTAGGGTAAGGATTAGACAAGTGGGAGTAGAAATACTCATTCAGCACTTCTGTAGCTTGCTTGTTGAAGTTGCGTCTCTTACGTCTGACACACAGGAGGAGATAATGAACAGACAGAAATAATGAACAAAACCTGTAGTATGCAGGTTTCTGACAAAACACAAAGTCCTTTATTAAAGCTTTAAAAATGACTATTATAGAAAAATCAGCCAAACACACGTGGACAGACCTGGCATCAAGGAAGCGTGAACGCAAGATCATGACGGCCTCACAGGTGCTCTGTTTGAGCTGCATCTGAATGGAGCTGAATTTGCGGTGGATTATGGCCACCATGCGCTCAATCTCCTTGGGAGAGATGGGCCGTGTGCGAGACTGCTCCCTCAGCAGGTTCATTACATGGTTGGTGAACTCACTGCAGGCCTTGGGAGGGGAAAAAAAAGAGAAGGTGGTGAAATGTTATTGTCAAAGATGGAACAAAGTAGGGGTTCTGTCCTGTGCAGAGGTTTGATGAGGCCTTGCTGGTTGAGGTTTGTCAGTTCTAAGATCAAAAGTGTTCAACCTAATTTCCAAGCAAATGTACRGATATAATTATTTGAATGCATAGCTAATATTAAGAAAAGCATATTTAAACTCGCATTTTAAAGGGCTTTCTAATACACAGGGTGACTTTTAAGTTATCTATTTTTTTGTTAACTGGACAATGAGAAACTATTTTAGAGCCAATGATTTCTAGGTGGGTTCCAGAGTCACACTTTTTGTTGTATGTGCTTGTGAGTTCTTGCATAAATTTTAATTTCAAACATTACAGCTAATAAATCCTAAATGCCAATGTTACGACCCCTGTTATGCTGCAGATTTACAAGTTCTTAAGGTGAGTTCCTACAAGCCAGTTTATGGTCAAATTCTCACCTGATCAATTGACGTTTTTATTTTTTCCTGAAAAGCATGAACTACTCACACACTAGGAAAAAAATAAATAAATCAATAACTGATTTGTGTTAAGCCAAACAAAATTACCTAAGGAGGTCTATAACATCACTTAAGTATACTCAGAACAAACCTGTTCATATTTCTCCAGCTCAGAATGATATATCTGACGGATCTGGGTAAGCTTGGCTCTGTAGTCCGAGTGTTCAATGCTGCTGTCGGTGGGTGAGCCTCCTGCTGCTGCTGCAGCTGCAGCTGCTGCAGCTGATCCTCCACCCTTTTCTGGTCCTGACACACCTTCTGCAAGCAGCATGTTATCCAATCGCATGATCTGTGGATCTGGGGGGTCCTCTTCCTGCACACCTCGTATACTCAGCACTGAACAAAAAACAAAAATTTTGCATGATTAGACAAGAAAACAAGCCAAAAAAATCCAATTTAACAGTTTTTCACAAAGTGTTGTTTTACAGACTTTTTTTTTTGACAAACCACAGACGAAAACATCTATTTCTGTATCTTTAAGTGGGGCAGATAAAGATGCTTTATTACTGCTAAAACTTTAAAAAAATAATAAGGCTGTCAAAACACAGTCAGGTTTCTCCCCTGAGTCATGGTTGTCAACAACTAAATGAATTTTCAATAAGTCTGATCTTCCACTCAATCACCAGCAGAGGGCAGTGCGTTTCCTCTGTGGCAGGCTGCCAGAAATATGGGCATGAGGCATGAGACCAGTAATGGAAGTGCATGTGCTGTCACTATGAGCCCCAGTGGCCATAAGTATAGTTATCAGTCGCAGCTCTCCACCACTGTATTATACCAGGACCTCTGTCAGCCTGCAGCCTTGCTCTCATCTCTCTCTCTTTCACACATGCACTCACACACTCACCCTTACAGACACCACTCTGYTTCTGAAGTTTTAGCTTTAGACAATGATCTTTTTCAGAGCCTGCAGCTTTTAACACTTTACTAAATTTCCCCTTGCCCTTTTTGCTTTTCTATCATTCAACTTCAGAAAGTAAGAGTAGTTGTTTCCCTAACGCAATTAAACATCCTAACCAGAGTATCAAAAGTTGTTTAAACACATTATAAGGCATGAATCACAGAGTTACAGTTTAAATAATCAATTTTCAGGATTGAGACAAAATTCACAAAAATTGCCAAATAAAAATAAAGCTAACAGAAACTAAAGATTTTCTATAACATATATGAAAATTACATTTTAAGCATCAGTGAAAATATTTAGTGATTRTTAATTATAAAATATAAACTACCTATTTTATGGATGGATGTTTTACATACTAATTTTTTTTTGCTGAATTTTAAGTATTTGAAACATTTAAATAAATGCTTTTAGGCAAGTAGCTGATACTTAAATTATTATCAAATGTGATTCTAAACTATATGCTTAAATTTCTGCATAATGAATTAGTTGGCATTACACGTGAACATATTGGTTCAAACTAAGCGTTCACAAATTCTGATCTTGAAAACTGAACATTAAAGATAACATTTTAAAAAAAGTAAAAGAAAAAATTATAAATTAATAGCTGTGAACCTACTGAAAGAATGACATGTCAGACACCTGTCCTCATTAGGAGTTATAATATTTAGTCAAAGCTCCCCATCAAAGTCTTGCCAAGTTACCTGTTTTGTTAATTTTTGAGGGTTATTTTGTTACAATTATTCCCATTGCTGTAAACATCTCAGCAAAATGAATACTGCTGGTCACAATAAAAAAAAGATTTGTAGTACTGAAACAATTAAAGGCAACAAATGAATGGAGCTGTGGCATAACACAGTACAGCGTTGCTTTTTCTTTTTCTCAATTTGATTTTCTACTTTTGAAGCGGATTTTTAGAAACAGTTTGTCCACCTTTTTTCTTCTTTTTTAACGTGTTTCTTCTTGCCCTTTTCTTTCCTCTCYGCTAGCGTTTCTTTTCTACCCAAGGCACATTCCTGCTGTGTTGCTCCCCCATCTCAGGGCTTAGGAATGCAGCAGACCCAGTCGCCTGAACTAATGACCCTGATTCGCCCATCTTTTTCCCTCCTTTCTTTCTTTTCACTTTCAAAATTTCCAATGATTTCTGCACTCTTTAGTTTGATAACCTATTGTTTTTTTAAACTGTTCAATGAATGTTATTTGTTTACATTATGATTATAAGGATTAAACTGATTGTGTAAAGTCTGTGATCATCAGGCTGCAGATTTTAATCATACATAGATGTATTTTGGTGTATACATCTATTCAGTGAGATACCCAAATGACCTACCAAAAAGAGGGCAAAGGTGGCTTTTGGAGCTTCTCACCTCGACCCCCTCCTTTTTTGCTGTGACTCATTATGGCCCCCAGCTGTAGCCTAATGCCCCTGCATTCCCCTAATTACTTCAATTAAGCTGTGATTACCCAGAATTGCACTCATGCACAGTCTAGCGGCCTGGTGATATCATAGCAGCTGTTGAGATAAGTACAACTATTGCACCGAAAAGGACAGTAAAACATACACGTAAAAAGACAAAGAATATGCAAATCCCTGTTACTAAAAACAGAAAATTTACATTAGGATTCGCAAAGCAATGAACTGAAAGTTGTTCTTCTCTAGTATTTAAGCAGCTTTCTTTTTGCCTTACTATTTGAGTAGGTGTCAAACAAAGAGAAAACAACTCGGGAGAGCTGTAAAAAAATTATGTTTTAATYACTAATTTTTTTAAGGAAAAAAAAGGAAAACAATTTTGGGCCCACAGCCAACATCCATAGCTTTTAGAAATCACCATTATGCATACGTTACACGCCAAGCTGGGCGGTGTGGCATTGAGAGACTAAGCGAGAAACATATACTATGAAATATTCAGGGTATCCAGCTGGGCTCTCACTGCATACATAATCATTCTCATTTCTGCACGGCAAATGTGGAAACATTGTGCTGYGCAGACACAACACGCAAAATATAAAGTGGTGCAGGTAAAGGTGAACAACCCAACCAATAGTGTAGTGCTGTACATTAACTGCAATCCCTTCCACACATAGGCATAGATAAGGCTTAAACGCAGTCAGTATATCATTGCTCAGCTCACAGCACAAGCTTTATCCTTGTCTGTCTTTTCCCTCACTAGCATCCCCTTTTTCACTCCGTCTCCCCCAACACACATCCCCTCCCCCTTCTCCCTTTCAGCACACCCCCCAACACACACACACACACATCTCCCCCAGTGCCCCCCAACACCCCCTGTTCTCCATTTCAGTCGAGTTCTCCATGTGAGCCGCAATCCCTCATGCTGTCAGCCCCCCCTTTCCCTCTCTCTGTAGACAGACAGGATTAGCATTTTAATTGCATCAGCTCCCTTGGGTATTCTCAGCCTTTCACTGGGAGAGAGCAAGGGATCGGTGGAGAGAAGGAAAAAAGGAAGGAAAAAAAAGGTAAGGATAGAGAGGGTAGAAGGAGAACCAAGGAGAACTGGGGAAAAAAAAAGGAGTCACAGGAAGATATGTGAGCGAGAAAGAAAGGGACAGAGAGAGAGAGACACACAGAGAGAGAGAGAAACAGAAATACACAAAATTCAGAGCACAGACGTTAGGGAGCGAGTACACTAAAGAGAAATAAAACATGGCAAAACCAGAGTTTCCATTAATAATATAAAAATAGAATTAGAATAGCTCACGTTCACAAAATTTGCAGAATCTCTTTACAGTGAAAATGTGTTACACAAATTTGCAAATTTACGTTACTAAAAAAAATTTCACTTAAGGTAATACAATTGATAAATATGAATTTATTAACAAGCTATAGATCCATAGTAATGGCAAAGATATGYGAACTAAGATGCTTAAAACAACTTTTCGAAAGCCTACCTTTCATATTAAAATGCATGACAAAACTTCCAAGCTTGATTTTAAATTTTAATATTACACAAAATACTTAAGCACACTACATTATAAAAAGACAACAGAAAATGATGCACAAAAAAAAAACATACGATTTTAAAATTTAGTACGGAAAAACCGCTGTGGGTGGAGAATCAAAGTTGTTGAATGCAGGAAGATGCAAAAATTGTCTTTATCACATTCTGTCATTATTGCTTGCTAGTTGTATTTAGCCATCCTAATCTTTGATGCCATTTATTATAAGCATGGGTTGCTTAATAATGCTTTAAGTCAATATTTTGTGTAAAGGACAGTCAACTAAATGAGCCCAATCCATATGTTCATTCCTACTTTAAGCAGCTCATGCTAATAAGCATCTGTTTGGGTAGTTGGGCTGTTGCACACAGCCCCCCCACTCTGACACAAACAAACACACTCAGAGGTAAACAACCAGAATAAACACAGTGTGTTTTGACAAAAGTGTAAATTGGAGAATTCACACCTTGGGCAAACAACGCTTCAGTCCAACACATCATTAATCAGCCCATAATTACCTAAAGGGATGGAGAGGCTCGGACACTTAAGCAATGATAACAACACAAATAAAAACAAAGGGGGAAATATATCAACTGTGCCATTGCATTGTGTACACAATTATCAGACAACAGAACACTTGATTTATTTTTGTGACTGTCATTTTTCCTAATAAATTTAAACTGTCATTTAAATAATTTTCTTGCTTACCATTCCAATATTTTTTCACAAGTCAAAAATCTACATTCTAATGTAATATTATATAAAAACAGAAACAATAAATCTAACAAAAGTAATGATGTGGGGGAAAAAAAGAGTTAAAATCATTTATTGATCGCAAATGTCCCACATACTTAGTACATGATTACACACATTTTTCACATTCAGTCATAAACATCTATTTTTCCCTATGTTTAAATTAAAAAATAAATATTTAAGTAATAAATATTAGTGACTTGACCAGTTAAAGTCATTGAGATGCTGATTAAAATCTCATTGTAGTTTGTTGTAATTGTTTTTATTTAGTCAAAYGATCTTCAGAAAATGGCATATTCTCTTGCCTCCTATAATTTAAGCTCACAGAGATTGCATAAATTGTATTAAATGAATGATATTTGCTCCCAGCTGGTGCTCAACTGCCATTTGAGTAAAATTTGATTCAAGTCAGTGTAGAAAAAATGTCAGACTGACTAGAAATAAATCACTTATCAGGCCAAGTTAAGAGACCAAGAAATAAATCTCCTTCTCCTTGAAAATATCTTCCTGTCAATATGACTCACACTAAAACAAGGGACAGATATTTCAAACATTGTTAAGTACCTATGAGCACAATGTTACCCTAATAACCCCAGTCCAGTAAAATTCTACAGACAGGGAGAGAAAGATGCAGTATGAAAAAAAAAATCTGAAATGTCACAAAAGGGTGAGGAGCACCTAGGCAGGAGCCTTGTTACAGCACTGCAAGGATCTTCCCTCAGTCAACTCT